GCGTTTTTGTTTCAAGTTTTGATTTAACGAGTACGCATGTGAGCAGGTTCGGACATCCTTTCTGTGCCCCATTTCAGCTAGTGACATGCACAGGTGGCTGAAGCCCTATGTTCCTCGAGAAATTAAAGGAAATAATAATAATACACGCAGAATTCGTATTTCAACCACATTAGCCAGATAGATTCCTAAAGATCATTCCCCAAATATTTTCATCATTTATTCTACTTAGATGTATTGCTTGTCAGACGGTATTTTTAAATAACCGAATCTTTTTATTAGTACCTGCTGGTAAAGTTTCATACTGACTAAGTGGGTATTTAAGTACATTGTGTTTGGTAACATATCAAAAACACAATCAAGCCTGTACACCATGAAATTCACTTTAAGAGGTTCTACTGGTGCATGTACCGTATAGTGGCATAAAAGCTGCACTGTTGAACACATGTATGCATATTTCGTAAACTTATTTACAGTATGATTCAATAGTCAAGGATAAATTTTATATTTTGGAGTCGTAGTCAGAAAACGACTGAGAAGGGAGTTAAACAGAGTGGAAGATTGTGCCTTTTTGTCTCCTGGTACGAGAATATTAGGCTATGAATGGTGAATGGTAACCTATCAAAGGTAAGATGCTAACACAAAGTTTAATGTAATTTACCGCCTTTCTAAAACTTTTCCAAACACGGTGGTAGTATATAACTGCATATGAATTCCATATTAATGTAACGGGGTGGAGGGAGAGATTGATAACAGAAGCTTTGTGTATCAGATCAGCTGCAAACACGTGTAATAGGAATTATTCATCCCCTGTCCCAGATATCTGGAAAATCCCACTACCCCTACGACAAATAGGATAAGACAAAGAAAACTATAAAACTCAAGTTTTGAAGTCGTGTGATTATAATTGATAGAATTATGAACAATAAATTTTGTTCGAAACGTCATCCAGTAAATCAGATTGTTTTACTGTGTGATATATCTAATAAACAAATTAATATGGAGTTCCCATACACCTGTTGTACGTGCGTTTCCCATCTACCTGAAACTTTACCCAAGATAAACTGATGCTCTCTCATGTAGTTAAAATCAGTCTTTGTAGCCTATTTGGACTTCTGTTTACTGTTATTTTCCTCCTTATTTTTGTCTTTTCCCTCTTCATCTCCCCTGCTGAGAACTGTGTAGGATATGTACATAGCTGAGCTAACATTCAAAGCCCTCAGTATTTATTATTATTACTACTTATATCAGAATCGGTTATTTTCCCATACTAATTTAAAACAAGCCCGAAATGTTAATAAAGCTTGTTGTGCATTTATCACTCAACTTCAATATTATTTTTACACTTGATACTGCTACTCAGTCAAATCACACACTGACGATGTTATTAGTAAATATCCATTAGGGTACTTACGTTTCGTAATAATTATTCACAGGACAACTGGATCATCGAATTTTACAATTGTCTTTACTTCTTCTTATTGTATCCTTTGACCATGACTGGCTGCAACTGGTTTTACACTTACAACTTCCATTCCAACTTCCATATATATATATATATATATATATATGCATTCACAAATTCGAATCTGTTATACTATAATTTCGTATCCACTTGCATGCGTTACATGTTGCAATAAAAATCCTAATGGTACACGAGAAGTAAACCAATAGGCAGCTAACAAATATGTGCTACCCTGATTCAGTAGTTGAAAATTATTTACGAAAATTGACTTTAGCAATTATACGGTTACAGATTCCTCCTACAGTGCTGATTATTACTAATTTATTCATTAGGACGAATCAATAGGAGAAAGTTAGTCTCTGATGTATATTTATGATAGGCCACAATTCCTGACCATATATCCGAGCGTTGTTTTCAAACACTTCTCTAAAAGCTATCATAAAAGTTGCTTAAGACGAAGTCCAAAGTTTGTGGATAATCAGCCTATTTTAAGAATAATGTTCCACAAATCAATCTCTTCCTAACACGTAAACCAGAATGAATAATTTGACAGCGGCATAAAATAGTTTTTTCTAGATTTAAAGAAGGTTGTTTTCAGTCAAATGAAGATTAAATATTACTACTGTGACAAGTAGCTACATTCATTTACCACTAATACAGTTGCTTGTATGGACTGTTTATCTGAGTGGTTCAGAAATGAAAGCAACAGTTGTATTCAAATTACTAAAATTAAGTTTTAAAATTACCACATGTTAAATATTTATGAAGTAAATAATCTTTTCTGAGTTCTTATATTCATTCTAAAGATATAATAGAGTGTTTGATGGAATACAACCAATATAATAACTCACATTCAATATTCAAAAATGACAGATGATTACAGATAAACGTTTAAATTCAATTCATACACAAACTTCCCGAATTTTGTGAAAGAAAGAATGGTATAACATGTTATCCTTAATAACTTTCATTTTTCAAAACAGGAACCTTTATACAACATAACGTTTGTCTATTAGGTGCATACAAAAGATTTCTCAGTCATATTAGACATGAGGTGGAAGTTAACAGAAGTTCATTTCCGTTGAAGATGAACTGTGATTTATCATCTATTTAAATCAGTTATGAATGAAACGAAGCATCTCACCGATGGGCGAAATATAATGGAAACCTCTTTCCCTAAACCAGTAATTATTAACAAGTACTATGTGCTCATGAAGATGCGTATACCGATATGACGGAACCAGAAGACCCAAAATATTTCTCAAAAGGTCATATGATAAGTTACCGAAAGCTTCGAACCCTATGAACCTTGATCTTATTCAGTACTACTACGCTTTACACTAGGTGACAAATTAATCTGTCAACGTTTTTATTCTTATGATATGAACAAATTTCATCTAGAATATTTAGTCTTCCCTTCGGGTAAAATGATTTGCACATTTGTGGAATAATTAGACAAGTACACAAAGTGTAGTGACTTTTTGAAAATATTGTATCAATTTTCGTCGCAGTTCACAGGATGTAACTGTGGTGGAAAAATTTGATGATTTACGGCTGTTGTCTTAATTTCTAAAACAAAACGAAAAATATTTTTACACATATACTATTTACCGGTATAAATGCACTGAGTAAATACCCTCAAGTAAAACAATTGCTTGTATTCCCCAGAAACGGTTTTTATAAATACTGAGTTGCTATCTGTTTCATCTTATTCCTTCCTGTGTTTATAACTTTATCACTGCTCATATTGACAACTGAAAACTTCAGATCACATTTCATGTTTAAGTTGTGCATCACAAGCAAAGAATATACATTCAGTATTTAAAATCAGACTGCATTAATGATACCAGTTGATTTTATCCACTTAATTTATCTTATTTATAATTTTAGAAGACAGAATTAGGTGCGGATGGTATTCAAGATTACACACCATAAACAACATCATGTGTTTTACGTGCTATCTATCTGAAATAAATGTATTAATTATGGTTGAAATCTACTCATTATTTTTAATATGCCTAGAAACAACGAAAAATGTGAAGCAGTGTAGGATAATAGACAATGTGATGAAAAATGTAGAGTCATAAATGATTTCACAAGTTTCTGTAAAAAACAAAATATCAGCGTGAAAAAATGAGATAGAAAGTGTATGCACCATTCATTCATCTAGACAATGTGATAGGATCACTTGAGGTGACAAAGATAAATCTATCTTTGTAATTCCTTCTCAAATGTCTTCCGTTTACATCACATGACAATACATGTAATTATTATGCAATATTTCTTACTAAGAGCTTATTTTCATTTATTTATATAATTAACCTTGCGAAAAAGTTAAATGTTCGTATATGCAAGATATCTCTAACTACTTAACATGCAGTAATATATCTCTCTAGCCACTATGCGTCGGTGGCACAGTGGTTAGGACTCTCGCCGACTATGCACAAGGTCCGGGGTTCGATCTCCTGCTGACGCACACCTGATATCTATGGTCGGCCTGCAGAATTTGGGCTACCGATATTACATGCTGAAAATCCCATGCCTGTACTGAAAAATAAGGTATGGATTCAAGCTGAAATCAAAAATAAATAAAAAATGTCTTGACTGGACACTTTTAGCTTTCACTTGTTAAGCAACTTTTCATAGTGGCTTCTTTTATGAGACATCTGCAAACTGATCGCTTATGCTTCCCACTGTTATTGACTCTACCAAGATTTTCTCGTTTACTCTGCTGTTGCACTTCGAGAATATATTTTTGCAGTGTTTCCGTTTTGCATTAAATAATCTCAAACTGGTTTCGAATTGTTTCAGGTGCACCTATATACTGGATCGAAATAATGGTATTCACTGTATTAAGAGGTTTACTCGGATTAATTTGAAAGTTGCTATCAAGATATTTTTATATCTTAAATTTTAGAATGTGCTGACACTATAAATTATCTAATCAGCTATGCAAACCAAGATGACTTCATAAACTCTTTTAAAGGTTTTTCTCAATCGCATATATTAGTCTGACTTAGGTAAGAAACTTTTAATATTTACTCTGACATTCAATAAGTTAGATAAGCAACTATCTTTACATTTCAGCACTTGAAAATTAATGAAATGCTTCAAAATTACTGTTAATTTGGTATAGTCTCACTATTGAGAGTTATCCATTCACATTCATGCATGAGGTCTATTTATCATTTAGGATTTACCTCACTCAGGCTACTTTCGCAAATTTTCTTAGCTAGTAATTATCTAAACAGTAAGGTAAGTGAGAGTAGAAGCAAACCGGCTGTTTTAAACAAAATTTTATGCTTACATTATCCTCCAAATGAATTTGTAGGATGCTGTTTCTCCAAAAACTGGATACAATATACAATATGATGGGTAATGCAGGAAGACTAATTACACATAAAACTATGAAATTTCCTAAAAAACTAATTTAGTTTTGATCATTAACGTAACACAACACACTTTAACCTCCTCAAATTACTCTTCTATCGCTTTTATAACCTTTCAAACAATATACAGTAGTAGAAAACGAAGTAAATAAACTGTAGTTTTAGATAACTTTATTCAAAAACTGATAAATGTCGAATACAAGATATATGGCATAGTTACAAATAAATGAATGTAAATGAAGTATCACAATATGGAATAGTATTCCTGAAAGCAAAAATATAAACAGCTTATTAGTCTTTCATTATTACTGGAACAGCTGCAGCAATAAAGTGCTTAATTAGTTATCTGTCAAACATATTTTTACTCCCCTACGGAAGTTATATATAATTCCAAGAAAAGTTTTCACTTTGATCACTGCCAAGCCTTGTATATCAGAGCTTGACATAAAAATTGGTGGCTTAAATACTTTGGTTTATCAGTTATATATTCCTCTGAATGATCCAAAATTCAGTCTTTCTATTCTCTTCTTTCTGAAAGATTTATCTTAGCCAGAGATTTGAACACAGCTTCAAAGCATTTAAGAATGTTAACCGATAAACCAATAAATGTGATGATGATAAAAGTACTTATAGATAAGTGTACGAATATTCACTAATGCATTTTATGCACCAGATGAGGCGAGCTTGCAAAGTGCTTACCTGTGAATGCTAATGGTAAAATCCTCAGATTGTAAATCTTATTTGAAGAAATCTGTGCTATGCAGGTACTTTAATGTCAAATTATATGAAATACTGACACAAAGAAGGCTGAAAAAAACATCGACAAAACATAAAAGTCTGCCTGCATGAGTCTGACTTTGAATGCCAATATTTTCTTATATGTTCGTATTTTGCTGTGCTGATTGTTACTATCATAATAATATGATTGCAGTTTAACCGTTGCGAAAGTGTACTAATCAGAATGTGTTTATCTCGAAAGCGACTAACACCAAAATTTAGATAATATTTGTTGAGCATACCTTGAAATGCTCATCATGTTTATATGGTTTATATTTGTGAATCTCCATGTTAAAGTCCATTCATTTCTTTTGGTAAGACTTTGCAATAGGCATTAATTAACTCAAATAGAATGTAACTTTTGGTTTTAAAACCGTTAGAGCAATTTGAGACTGTCAATATCATGGGTCAGAATTTAAAATGGACTCACTGAAAGTAGTAATTGATGAAAGAGATTCTCTACGACGATGTATGATAAGTCTTCTCTACTAGTAATATCTTCTGTATACAGTGTCACTGAAAAAAATAATGGCATTGAAATGAGGTACTCTAAGCATATAACCACACACTGTCAATAATTTTTTACCACTGTAAAATGTAATTATCAGTTAGATAGCACTTCATTTCTATCAACTGTTAACATAGGTTATATAAGATTTTTTCATATATGATACTAGAAGGATTAAGCAAAGTTTGTGCACCAAACGTCATTGAGGAATAAGTCACGAAATAACTGTTTCGTCATTAAATCAAGTGGAAAAGACTGAATAAATCATTTCACAATCTATCAGCAGCTTTACCGCTAACTGTCTATGAAGGCATCATTAGAAAACCAGTGTATATTCAGTGCATCAAATCCAAGTGGATCATGCAATAAAAGCAATCATGCATAAATACCTAGTCTCCAGCTTCATAATAGTGATTCGTTTTCCCGGTTGGTTATTTTCATGGCATAAGACCATTAATGTCTATGTAACCATCCAGTATACAAAACTGAGAAGCTACAATGCCAAATTCTCAAAGTAAAGGGCATATATAGGAAAAGCAACACTACAATTTAAAAATGTTTCTTGCATTGGATGGAGAAATAATACCGAAAAATGCTACTTTTAAGCGATTTTAAATTCCTCAGTTATTTATTCACTAATATAAGCACAGTTCATTGATTGCTCAATGAATTTTCCGTTTCGGTATCATCCTTAGTTTTGAAAGGTGAATTATAAAGTATTATATTGATAATCTCGACACAAACGTTATCCATATACTAAACTGATATATGTAATAGTGGCTAACCATTTAAAAAGCGAAACAGTCTAGAGATACGGTATTTAAAATTTTAATTTATTTTCACATACTCGTAAATATCGACTTTCTGACCCCCAAAAGGTGGATATGAATATCCATAAAGTGAGCTTATTTGAATGTTAAGAGAAAAAGAAAATAAAAATGCGTTAGAACGATATATGTAAAAGATTTCGAAGATGTAAGATAAATTCACCAAATAAAGTTGAAAGTTCGCTTCTTGATAAACACGTTGGTTATTTGTCAGAATGACTGTACTCGAAGTCAAGTAATACTTGCAGTAAAGATTATTTGCTATTCAGGATGATGTTCGTTCAAGGTTACATTATATTAGCAAATATGTTAATAGCAGGAAAATCACTTCTTTTTAAAGTTTTTATTGTTCAAAATTTATAAGACTATAATGAAAGTTTCACAAGTGAGAAAAAAAGTAACATAATCTCTGTAATTAGTCCTCAGCCCTAAATTGGTTTATACATCACAATTTACCATCTTCAGTTATTAACAATACCGTGTGTTAATTATCGAAACGCATGCCAAAAGCTCAATCTTCACAGCATAAGGAATTTGAAGACGTGCTAAGAATGACAGATCACCTTCGCTACTACTAAGTAAGTTTAGTGTTATATACGTCAAGTTTGGCTCGACTACATAGCTTATTGATAAGTGCCACTAAACTGGATGGTTTGTGGCATCTTACATTTGGTAAAACTTTAGAACTTTCCGCCTTACTGCCTACATGCAAATGTTAATGAGAAATCCAGAGCTAGAGTATGACTTCTACTTCTGGTTAATCATTCGACATTCTTTATCTGAAGGACTTTAAGGTTTGACACATTACTTCAATAACACTTATTTCTAGATACAGCTGTGGTCTCGAAAATTCAGTTAAGTGATGAGATTTTAATAATTCAAACTGTAGAACAAATAAAGATCTCAGGACTAATTCAGTTTATAACAGTAAAAGAGCTATCGGTCGCTGAACAGAAGTGATTTCCAGTATGAGGCTGGTGGAAGTATATTTCAGCAAACTTTATTATGTTTGTGGCAAGAAACACACTTATCATACAAAGCGATAAAAGCACTGGGATTCCTTCGTGCCAGCAAATATTTAGCTTCTATGACTTGATAAAATTCACACAATTTACAGAACTATTAAGTGAATAAGTACATTTAAAAGTCTAATTCCCACTAGTGTAAATATCTTTGTACTCACCTATTATCATACAGACCACTGTATGACCGGGCTCGACGCAGTGAAAGTGTAGGCGAGTAGCTCGGTCGATATACATCTGACGTATAGCTAAAGATCAAATGTAAGATTAAATTAGCAACACAGTATATAAGATACCTTCTTACACATTATTTTGGATGAAACAATTTGTAATTCCGTTTATAACCCTAATTTCTAGTAATTATATTGCTCGTTGTTAAACTGTAAAATGATCAACAGCGATCTGGTGTTCTCTCAACTTGGAGAGATTTTTTGAAATGATATAGACTCAATAATCTACACTGCTATCAAATTGAACATTAAGAACACATAAGTTGTTTGCTCAAAAAATACTATTTAGTAGGGAACTATTTGAAGATCTACAATTTTTTAAATCACTACAGGTATAGTAAGTTTTTGAAGCAAAACAAAAGTCTCTTTAGCTTGAATATCAGGGCCTTTAGTTAACATGCATGTTGCTCCCAATTAATGCACGTCATTTTACTCATTCAAAGTGCAATGAATTCCAGGTTTTTATGGTGCTTTTAAGCTAGCCTGGTGTGATAATAGGTGTAGCGGGTCAACCTGTTTCAAATTCCTACTGAAGTATTACCCAACTTTATACTGCTACCATGACTAAGAATTTAAGCGAACACATTAACTGGATGATTTACTCTGATTATTGTGTTAGACCTTTTGTTGAGAAAAGTCACTTTTCATGAAGACTCTTCAACCTACTTTAAGCTAAGTATCTTATTTTATTTTGTGCATCAGGTACTTAAGATTAATACCACCCGTAATAGCCTTTTATTTTAAAATTTACGAAAACTAACTGGTGAAATAATGAGGTAATACATGATGCATCTGATTTTAAAGTGTTTCACCTATTGTTCCTCCACATTACCATACCTTCATGAAAAATTCATGTATCATACTCAATAACCACTAGAAGTTATAGTCTTTTTGTCAAACCAAATGATTTGTTTCCCAATAGTCTTCTAAAACTTGAAAACACTTAAGAAATAAGCAAAAACAACCCATGGATACGTTAGTTTTATCTATTTTTGAAGCTTCAAGCTATAGGTGGATAAATTACCCTCAAAAGGGTATATTTTACTTATACTAGCACATAATGACAATAGAATATGCAGGGTAATATGAAAATCGAAAATGTGGTACTGTGCTCTGTGCTGTCTTTAGTCTTCGATAACAATCAGAATCATTTAATTCTTCCAGTTTAACTTATCAGAGGGATTGCGGGAATCACTTTGTAACGTAAATAAAGGCGATATATGATCACTCTATTGATGAGCATTATTTTCTATAACACAGTGAAAAGTTTCACAAACATAAAAGTAGACAAAATAGCGATCATTTCAGTAGGTGTGCATCAAGTCAGTTTGGTGTACTACTACAAATATTATTTCTGATGAGCATTCATTGAAAAATTACAGGAAAGCCAACTACATTTTGTTTATTTCTATCAAAATGTAGAGAAACATTCTGTAAAGAAACTTTCTGCTTCCATATTATCGTGAATGTGAACCTATAAAGAGCATCTCGGTCCACAGTGATAATGAATACAATCAAAAGTATTCCTCAGTTTATTAACCACTCTACACCATAAGAAATCAACAACGAAACATTGTGGTTGATGAAGTAGGCTGTAAATCTCTCAATAGACGTCAAAGTTCTCAGACCTACACACGATTCAGTATTTCTGAAACCTGTGAATCTAAAACAATTTATATACCTATAATGGCCCTGAGTGTTTCTCTTCTGCACCAGAAAGTAAATCTTATAACAACTGTTCTCTTAATAAATGCTATTTACTTTTGCAATCATATGCTCAAGGTGGACTCACTGGCGTTAAATAATCACAGGAATTGCCTAAGTTTTGAGAGGTGAACACGAATTTCAGATCGTAATAGAGACAAGGCCCCGTAAAACAAATGCACTTCCTAATACAAATTATTGGAATAAGAATCCCAAAGAAAGGTGCTGTAATTTCTGTCAAATATCTGAATTATTTTCATATGTGTAGAAAAATGAAATATGTTTTTGTTTTCATTCTTCGTATACAGCAGAAGGAACGGGCCGTAAGTATAACGGTACCGTATCAATTAGACATTCGCATGATGGACATAGCACACAAAGCTAATGAGTGATGTTATCCAGTAGGCATGTTTTATCAAACAGGTAAATCAAGTACAAGGCGGAAATTAAACTGATAGAAAACAAAATACCTTGAAGTAGTTGGATAGTCTCTGTAGATGTAGATTCGTTTTCCATACAGTAAGTCGTTCTACAACATAAAATCCACACAAAAATTAAAGGTAATACGAAGAATTCACGTAATTTTATTACCTCATAAATGATCAAAATAATATGAAGTTGACAACCCAGTTCATTATAAAATATACGTAATTCTTGCAACAAATGAAGTGAGAAATCAACTAAAAGTGCATCGTTTTCTTATTTATTAAGACGAAATATCTTCAGGTAAACCCAGTGGATAAAACATTATATATCCTTAGGGTTTCTCTCCTTCTGTGTTGCTTTATGTTGAATAGCGCACGGACTGTCATGGAATTTTAATTGATACTATGAATTTTCTAATATTTTTCCACTTTAATATGCCTTCAAATCCAGTCACCGTTTAGATATATGAGAACTATCTGACTGATAGAATAATACAGAGGCTAACGCAAAAATTCAGCGGTTCAGTTTTCAATAGACAGAGATGAACATGACGGAGACAATGGCAGACTAATTATTGCTTAGGTCTCTCAGGTTCTAATAAATAACAAATGACAAATTTATTCTCTAACTTGTGAAAGGCCGACATCTGTGATAAAAGCCAAGCTATTCATACCTGCCTAAATGATTCAGGACAAAATGTAGCAGATCCATAGGTTCATGGCGTAATTTTTACTACACAACTGTACACCGTTTTCAGAACAAGTCCTATTTCACCTAATATCCAAGTAGTTCAGTACACATAGTCCATCTCCCAAAACAAATGAAGATAACTAATTATTCTTTCCTTACAACCCACATCCCCAGTCTTCTTCTAATGTCAGCATTTCCCAACATATCTCCGTTACTACAGAAAGACACCTATTATAGGAGATCTGTAATCTTTTCAAAACATCCACTTTCAGCGATTATGCAGAACCAATCAAACCGATTTACATGACTGACGAAAGGCCAGATATATGGCTGGTGTCAAAAATAGCACCAGTTTGCAAACACCAAAACTGCATTTTGCATCTCTGCTTAGATTTTATTGTAGACTAGTCTATTATAGTTGGCGCAATTTCCCATGTAAGCAAAGTGGACAACATCAAATCATTAAATAAGAAATAAACACAGACGAATAGTAGAGAGTTATTAAAAGTCTGACACGGGTCATGTGGATGCCGAATGCACTCATACACCTATTTGTGGCCTGTAGAAGAGTAAATAAAACAGATTGATCAGGTGTTTAGATATTTCAAAAGTAAAATCCCCCTATTGAGAATTATAAAACAATAATATTTAATATTTTCAAACTGATGTAGGATCACTACCTACATGAAGTGTCTGAATTGGTGTCAGCTGTAGTCAAAAGCCTTTAAACCTGCCTAATTTCGAGTTCACCTCAAATTGGCTTTGAAAATACCGGGAGGAATACAGAATGACTTTTATCTTATAATTTGTGTTACTGAGAAGACAACATACGTTTTACTATCAATATGGGTCTGCAGGTTGTACATACCGAAATTCTAAATATTAGCATCTGGACGAAATATATCCTTTCATTTTTTTGACCATTTTAAGTGCAAGTAATACTTTATCTTTCAACTAAATACATAGTTCAACAATTTTAATGAATAGAAAAGGTTTCTCAATTACAAACAAACTCTGGCAGCATATAACTATTTAAAAAAAGTGAATGCACATTTAGTCACTTCCCAGATTTCTGTCAAAAAGACATATGCATATCCAGCGAAATGCCATCACCACAGAAAAATTAACTCAAAGCGCATTATATATATGTTAGGTCTTCAGGTGGAAAGTTCTCTCTGTAAGTGACAATATGCTTATGCAGAAGAACATCTAAAGTTAACCAATCAGGAAGTGGAACTGTAGATAAACTAGCTGATGTTCCTAAATAACTTCACTGGCGATATAAAACATTTGGTGACTAATCGGAGTGCTACGGTGAGCCAAGCGTATAATATGCACATAAACAATACTTCACTTTTAGCTTGAAAAGTTTTAGAAGCACACACGTCGACAAGCCGAAGAGGAGTTCTGCTGTTTCAAAACAATCTGAAAAGTCAACTTAGCACAATCATTATAACTCACATTAATTCTTTCAGAACTTCTTGATAGATACCCATAGTTTGGTGTCATCCATGGTCTGAAATTGCCATATGTATCATAATAGCCAACCAGATCAGAATCGTAGTATGACATTTTGTTTGTGGCGATTGCAAGATGATTTGCGAATACACATCGACGTTTTATATACACGCCAACCTCTCACGAGGTTACCAAACATTAAAACAAATAATTCAATCACTAAGGTCTGGTCCGTCCTGTCATAACGACTTTAAAAAAGACGTATGCCGATTACATGATAACAGTATTATATGAATACTAATAACTAGTGAAATAACCAAACCATTGATATCAGAGGATCAAACCACACGAAAAGGGATACATTTCTTACATAGGGTGGAATGTCTAATTGATATTAAATATTTAGTAAGGTCAAAGGTAACTCTGAGGGACTTCTTGCGCCTGGACAAGCTTATTTTAACATATGGACGTGAACGCACCCTGATTGCAAACATGATGGTAATCAACCAGACAAACCGCAAAGATCAAAATGTCATGTATAATTCGAAATTTATGCTATCAGAACAAACTGCAAAGTTATTTAGTTAGGGACTGCAAAGGAACATATGGAAATGACGTGATAACTAGGCAAATATGATGGTTGACTGTTGAAGTTTCTCCGATTTACCCAGTTGTGAAAATACAAGGGATATCTCTTAGGTTGTGGGCTATTTATAAGATAAAATTATATGGAACCCCAATGTGAAATACATGTATATGGCATCTGCGCCTGATTTTAATGAGTAGAATGAAGGAAAATGCCCTGATGATCTGATGTGAGTGTTGCTTATGATCAGAAGGACAGCTGGAAATCATCAGAAAGCCTTTTCAGAGAGTTCATAGCACGACATATGTACAAGAAAATTCTTAACAAGATGCATGTACTTGATCAGTAGTTTAGCATTCAGTCATAATGCAATTAACGAATGCAATATATGTCACAATGTAAAAACATAACTTTGATGTTGATTTCCCTAAAAATAGTCGTGCCTGTCGTTACCGGGGTAACTCCAAGCAGAAATAAATCTTTGGATGTTGATGGTATAGACTTTCGCGAACAGTACTGAGTATATTAACACAAGATCTTATACCTACAACTTCTGTATTATTTATTTCTCGTGTACCAAAGGCAAAGCAAAACACCACAATTGATTGTCCATATTACGAGATATATTTCGGAACTAAATGGCGGATTGAAGCGGAAGCTAAGGTGGCTAGTGACCGTGCATGAACGTGGCATGAAGGAGTACCAAATAGCGGGGATGCTTGGCAGTAAGCCTTCAGCTAAACGAGTCGACTTAAACTCCAAGGGTCAGCATCCAATGTTCACTGATGATTCTTATGGTCACGATGTAATTCTCCTCATAGACATAATCCATTTCTATGATCGATAATTTTGAAAAATTATTTACCGCTACAGCTCATTCCCCCCCTAGTGCGGTTGCGAGGACCCTAAGACAGAACCAGCCTGAACAAGAAAAAATCGATGGTTCCCTTTCGAGCGGAAAATCTTCCGAGCGGCTCGGTGGCGTGCCTACTGATCTGTCTGCCTATGCTAATAGGGTGTTTGTACATCGCTTCCTTGATGTTGTTCGTTGGACCCCGTGCTTCGTTTGCTTTTTGTCCCATGCCCGTCGCGCCTGGAAAAGAAAACAAGAACGCTAAGAACCTTGTTGAGGAAAATAAACCAAGTCGGCGTTTTTATTTTTAAAAAATTATGTGCGTCTAGCGTACAGTAAAATAATGCAAAGTTTAGAACATCGAAAAAGTATACATCTAATCCTTTAGTGCATGCAAACTGTACAGTTATAAAAAATTGTTTTACGTGTGTTTAGTGGTGCTCAATCAAAAAATTGATGTCTGACAAAAAAAATAATAATTAGAACTACGAACAAACAAGGTGGGTGAATAGCACCACTTAGTTATGTTATACAGATGTGACGATATTATGGGAACCTTACGGCACGTCCAGAACGGGTTTTCTTAGTCGGCTCGACAGAAGATTCGACAGCTGTCGCCGTAGTAGTGTCTTCTTCGAGGACTAAACGATCTTCGGTTACTTGTGGATTTTGGAGTACGCTTAGCTCTATGCTAATAGAATAACCTTCCAAGTAAGCCGGTTTCAGACGGTCAGGAGTAAGTCGTCGAGCTTTGGATGTCACGGGCTGTCCTGAGGTTATGATGTGGTGCTTAATATTGTTGGTTATGCACGATAGGTCGTTATACAGGCAATTAAGTTCTGGATATTCATCAACGGTCAGCTGAAAAGTTGGATCATCTTAACGAGAGACAAGCTGGGGCCTATGTAGCTGACGCCTTTGATAGACAGACTAGTATTATTGCCAGTCGTTTTCGGAGGATGTCTACGAGTAAATCATGATGATTGAGTAGGTCCACGCCAATGATGGGCATTCTGACGTCAGTGAAAAGGAAAATCCACCAAATAGGTTTGCGTAAACTTACGTTCAGATAGACGTATTTCCTACCAAAGGTTGCGATTGGTTTTCCATTTGCAGCCTGTAAGTTGAAGGTAGGTTCCCTCCGTCGATCTGCTGCTGCAGTAAGAAGGAGGCTGACTTTGACGCCCATGTCGACTAAATATCGAGTCTGGCTTATCACATCATGGATATAAAGTAGGCGGTAGTGCGACTGGTGATGGTTGCCACTAACGCGTGCCAGTGGGATAGTTTCCCATTCTGAGACATTTCCATATCTACAAGGCTCACGGCAACATTTCGCTTCCTGGCCATAGGTGTTGTGATACCAGCCCCAGTCAGGGTTTTGGGAGAACGTGGCTTGCACTTATATTTACCACGTGAGTTCCGGCGTTGGGGAGAGTTCTGACGGCGGTAGGAGTAATTGGAATGCATGTTTGACCTAAACATCTGCTGGATGGAGTTGCACAACTCTATCACTGCAGTGTCCTTACTCGAAGTCCGTTCGGCAACTGAGCGTATTTCAGGAACTGACCGTTTACTTATTTCTAGAATCTTATCTGCTGAAATAGCCAAGTCATCTATTATAACATCCTTAAGTGTCACAGATACAGTCTGTACGGACTGTGGCAGCTTGGATAAGAAGAACTCTCTGAAAAGTTCACCATCGAACTGACTTTGGCCAATAACCCCTTTCATTCTTGTCAGCATGCTCACGGCTGACTGATCTCCTAACTCGATGTTACGAAATAATTCGTCCAGACGTTGTCGGTCTGTGAGAACGTTTCTCCTGAGGAGGGATGATTTGAGCAACTCGTACGAGTTACTTACCTCGGGACTCAACATCTGTGAAGTTACGTACTTGCTGAATTCCCGCGATAGGGCGTGAATAACTGCGAGGAACTGTGAACGTTGATCGGGTATCTCATGCTCAGAAAAATCTCCTTCAGCTATCTGAAACCACGTTTCAGCATTACCTGGCCAGTATGGTGCGAGCTGAATGGTTTTAGTAGTTGAACGAATACGGATGACTTTGGGACTAAGATCACTGACGACGAAAAGTATGTCAATTAGAATACTGACTGAAAGTCAGCACTTCCACTTGAATCAGAGGTTGGGCACATCACGAAATGCCTTACGAATAGGCGAGAGATTTACACCGACAGCTATCTTGGATCAGTATTGATGGTCAGACTGCAGATTGGAAAAGCGAACCATAAGGAATTCCAGCAGTGAACCAGCCAATACTGGTATCCAGCGACGTGGTTTTCTGCTGTCATAGTGCAGATCAAGAGGAGATCCAGATCAGCGTAAGCCACCAAATCTGTACAGGTCAGACAGTTTCTTTTTAATTCTGATGTTCGAAAAGGTGTTGCAGCCAAAATGGGCTCAAAGGAGTTAAAACGCATCATCGTGAGGTATCGAGAACGTATGCTCTTTTAGTTCAGCGTTTCATCTGCCAAAATACAACATTTGAAATCTGTACTAGGTGTGGTTGGGCTCAGTCGGGCCTAAGCAAAAACCGTCTTTATATCAAAGGTGTATTTATTTCAAAAATGCGACCAAATTAGTACTTAAAACCTCATTTCTACCCAAACCAACCATATTGGTAAATCTGGAGTCTTCTAGTTAGGTAACCGACCTCTTGGAGTGGATGATGTAGGGTGGCCAGAGGTCCTTGCTGCTGTTTGACTATTCATTCCTGAGAAGACGTTCAGCGTTGGCTAGTACATAAGATGCAATTATTTGATAATACATCCACGAATGTATTTATTTGACATAACCTGTGAACAGCTGTGAAGCTCATGGCAGGAAGGTAGGAAATATTGATGAGCATAAACTGCCAAAGACTGGCTGTGCTCAACATCTGTGAGTGACGCGAAATGTGAGGGAAACCGAAAGTCATACAGTTAGCAAGGCACACGTAAAACTTTAAGACATGCCTTAAATTTACAAAGCCTGGTTTAGAGAAAATCAATGCATAAATACAAAAAGTGTGATTTCAGAGAAAAATGATGGGCATTAGGTGTGCCATTCAAAACATGTGTGGGAACCTCTCATGAAACGACCTTCCCTTCAGTAGAAAGGCAACATGACACACTGAACACATCGTTCTGGTGGGTTTTTTGGCGTGCAACGCGTGGCTGACAGCCGGTTGAGTTTCAGGGTTTTTTTATAAACCAGCTTTGCGATAACACATTTAGCAACAGCTTTTAGCTTATTCCACATATCAAGAAGAACTAAGGGTATAGACACGGTCTAGTTTGGCGCGTTTATGACTGTCAATGTCCAGTTCTAACTGCAATGGACTTAAGGCTGTCCTTAGAAGACCTCTAGCAACAATGTGCAATAACCAACGCGATAAAACAGAACACAGATTGGTGACTCCAGAATGCTTTATTCGTATACCAATATGGAACCAACAATAAGGTTACTACATACAAAGTCTAAGAATAAATGTCATAACAATTAATCACAATAAAACATCTGATAGTATTTCTCCGTCTTCCAACGAACAGCGTACGATGGAACGATGACTGCGATATCTGTGACTCCCACCAAAATATGGAGTTGGTTTAGAATAAACAACCATGAAATGATAGTTCATTCCAGTCTGCTGTGCTGGAACACGTGCGGCCTAAAATTCTGGTTGAGGCTGAAGATAAGGCGCTCTCAATCCTCCACCTACAGTTAAATGTTTTGGGGAATGGGCATGCTTTATTCACAGTCTGCCTTCCAACTTGTTGTACTACTGTTATGGAGGATACCATCCCGTAGGGCATC